CTAAAGAAGTCTGCTGCTTTTAGTTGTCCCATGAATAAGCCTTGCTGTAGGATTTCAAGCTTTTTTCTTCTGAGTTGCTGGTTGCTTCCCGCAGCAGGAGCATCATCCTTCTGAGATATAGCAGCTACCCCAGAAGAGACAACTGCTCCACTGCACTGCAATTAAGCTGGAACCATTCTTGGATTCTTGACATTTCTAATCAAAGCTCTACTGTCTTAATTAGTTCAATGCTCTGAAGAGTGGCACATTTTCATAAGTTGGCTGAAATTTCTCTTTAGTAAAATGTTTCACTGTTTTGATGAGACTTCAGTATACTGCCAACACAGACAATGATTTGAATGGAATTTAGTGAATTATATGGAAGACATTAGACTCAAGCTAGGTTTAAAATATTTCATTTCAATGGGGTTTTGAAAGTGTCCATGATAATTCTCAGCAGCATGCTTATTTCAGCCTCTGAAATTTCCAAAACCCACAAATGACGATGTGGAATATTTTCTCACAAAGTAGGACACTTGGGGAAGTGGCCTAGATCAGACCAACCTCTAGACTGCAACCACCTACCAGGCCTTGAGTTATTGGAACTGGGCCTTGGAGGTAGCAGGCGGGTGACATAAGCATACATGCCCACTGCTTCTTCAAATGGAACTGGACCAGAGGTGGTATTCAGCAGGTTCTGACCAGTTCTGAAGAACCAGTAGCAGAAATTTTGAGTACTTCAGAGAACCGGCAAATACCACCACTGACTGGAGATTTTACAGAATCCTTCCCCTGCCACGGCCACCAAGCCACACACACAGAACCGGTAGTGAAAATATTTAGATCCCATCACTGAGCTGGACAGACGTATGCACTTGCCTGCCGTTCATGCAGAACCATCCCTTCTACCTCTCCCCCCCCACCCCGTCCATTAGTCCACAAAACTGGAAAGGTTGTCGAACTCTGGCCTAGGTTACTATTAAAAGGTTTAAAGCATTAATATGCCACTGTCATAAGACTAGAATTTGAGGTTTTTTTTAAAATGAGTTGACAATAGATTCAAGACAGACTTAACCCAGTCCTTTAACTTTATATTTTCCACACCATAAATTATGCAATAGTAATCGGTTTAAAGGAGTTCCAGCTTTGATCAGTTTGTCTCCATCAAATACCTTCCTAATGTGCTAACTAGAATCCTCTCAAGTGAGGTTAGTGGCATTCATGGAAGCTTAGTGAATCAGAACTGAGTTGCAAGAGGAAACTCCATCCATAAAAGAAGCACATTCACTTAATTGTTCTTGTCCCTCACAGAGATAGATTATTTCTACCCTTTCCTCTATGCTAATGTTTCCTTGGCAATTTTAGGATATGTGAACTTCAACTTCCAGAATTCCACAGCCAGCAAGATTAAAGTCCATACTGTATATCTTGAAGCTGCCAGTATTGAGAAACACTGCTCTATGGAAATCAGAAAGGGGTTTTGTTTGTTTAAATAATAAAAAGCAGTTGAAGTTGGGGAAAAGCCTGGGAACAGAATCTGAGAAAAAAAACAGATTCCCATCATCCTGCTCAGTGACTCTAAATAGCCCCTGAAATTAACTAGAAGTCCAAGAAAGAAAGCAGAGTACTTTTGCTTCAGAAAAACATCTTACTTTTAGGGAAATAGTTAAACCTCTACCTAGGAAATAGCACTAAAAAATTTTTAATTTCAATTTATGGAATGGAATCTAAATCTAACTTTTTTTTAATTCTCTGTAAAATTTAAGACAATATATTGAACTTTATTTTTAAATTTTTATTTTAGATTTGTTACCCCACCTTTATTATTTTTTATAAATAACTCAAGGCACCAAACATACCTAATATTCCTTTCTCTTCTAACTTTCCCCACAACAATCCTTTGAAGTGAATTGGGCACAAGTCATCCAGCCAATTTTATGCCTAAGGCAGGATTAGAACTTACAGTTTCTTGGTTTTTAGCCTGCTGCCTTAACCAACTAGACCAAATGTTAACTTTGTATTCAATTTTCAGGATTGTTTATATAGCCATAATTTTTCTGTAAAATTGTTTTAATATGACTCCAGTATTTGAGTAATGAAAATTTCCATTTCTAGAAAACCAGTGCCATCTTGTGACTTGCCTGATATTCTATTATCTTTTTTTCCTTTTTTAATTCCTCAGGAAGTGGCTGACCTGAGTTGGTCACTTTGGACCAGAATGTTTGTATTTCAATATTTAAAGTTAATAAGAGATTGATAGATTTTATCTGTTTTCTTTTTTAAAATAAAGTTTAATTTTGTTCATTCCTTATGGGATTGGTCTATCACTTCCAATAGAGGGCATTATTATTTTAAATTGTTTTTATCTCTTAATTACCATAAATGACCTAGTTCTTCTGCTGGTTATCAAATGAACAACAGATAAAATATCTCTCCAGAAGATAGATGGTGGCAACAGAAATGAAGAAAGCAGAAATTGAGCCAGAGTTGAAAACCTGAGGACTTCTAGTGGAGGAAATCTGAGCCTTCGGCTTCCCATTTTGCTAATTCAAGCAATCCACTAATGCTACTTGAAACACATCTTGGACTAAATTGGCCCAACAGAGTTCCTATATTGAGAAATGGTGTGCTTAAGTATAATGTGTCCTATAACAAGGATTATACAGGAAAGACTTGTGAAATGGTTTTCTGAATTTGCTGCTACTTTGTTCCCATATAGTGATTTTTTTCAAATGCAAGATATCCTTTAGATACATTAAAAATATTGCAATGATTGATTACTAGCATGATAAAACTGAAAGTAGTGAATCAGCAATTATCAAGAAAGGATAGCATTTTTTTTCATGGAAAATGAATGTGGTAGTGGAGATCCCCCAGACAGAGAATTTGGCCTCCTTTTTCCTTTGAAATTAAAATCTCTTATGTCTTTATTGTCTACATTGCTATTAGTTCCTAAAAGGATTTTGTGGGTGGAGTAAGGTGCAGGGAGACTTGACTGTAATAGAATGTGCATTTTGATCCCACTGTTGGTAGGTTTCTTAGTTCTCAACTTAGATGCCTTGATTCAAGTATTAACAAACTGTTTCTACTGGATTACAAAGGTGGTTTATAATTTCTAATCTAAACCAAAAGTAATAATAAAATAAAATCATCCGAGCCATGTTTATTGAAAGTCATATTGTATTAAAATTATACATACCGGTACTAATTTACATTGAAAAAAAGACTTTAAAATAAGCAATTAACAACATAACTAAGCACAGTACAGATTTATGTTTAAAGTCAAAACATTCCACCAAATTTTTCTAGAGAAGAGTTCTGAGCAGCCATTAGTTGAAGCAGCAGTGTTTATACACAATATTACCATATATTAGAAAGACCTATCTATTATGTGATAATATTAAATCTATTTGGATAATAATGGTAGATATTTTTGTTTACTAGGTGAGAGAAAAGCTTGTTCTTCCGGAAGTATTAAAATGAATGGAGACTAAGCAAATTTGAGTAAAAAGTTACTAGCACTTTAATGCAAATCTTCCCCCACTGGCTTGAGTAATTTCTCTAGCCTTATAGAAACTTCATATTTTTTTCTTGAGAATTATTTGAAGGGAAAAAAAATCTACATTTTCAAAGCTGATGCTGAGCAAAATTTCTTAGCATGTATTGGATTTCCCCCCCTTCACTGCTAAGAAATTTTGCTGTTCATTATATTTCAATATCCCTATTTTGCTCAGAAGAAACTTTGACATTTCATTGAAAAATGTGACTTTCATTGAAATGCAGTGGCATATCTTTGTCCCATTTCCCCCCCCCCCCCCCCCATCTTTCCTGTTTATCAAATCTGGAGTTTATCTTGAAGGACAGAAAACAACAAAATTGTCTTCTGGTTGGTGTAATTTTATAGCTAACAGGCTACTACTGTCCCATGTGATGCATCTTTAGGATTGGAACACTACTATTATGGAGGATAACTTCATTCCTAGAAAAATAACAAATCCCAGCTACCCATCTTGTGTTCAGTACTCAATATTCAACAAAAGCTGAAGGCATTCCCAGCAAATTTGACAAATATCCGTATGACACATGACTTCAAATATCTATTGGCTACTAGTAAATATTACAGTGCATGTATTAAGGACTGGCATGTATAAGAAATAATTAAATTCTTCCCCTACAAATCTTTATTCAATGTTCATATAATCATGTACTTTCATTTCATAAGCTTACTTTTAATACTTAAGATGGCAATGAGTTACATGTTCAGCACTTTGGCTTCAAAATGATTTAGATTCTAATTCAGTCACAGGTTTCCATATTTAAAAAATTCCCTTCTTGTTGGCATTCCTTAGGTTTTAACCACACGAATTCCAGATGTTTGCTATATTGTAATTTCTTCCTGTAAGAAAATGCCTTTAGTTTTGTCATTATATCTTTCTATATATCATCATTATGTGGAGTGATTTGTGAGGTTTTTTCTTTTCTTTATTGCAATTCTGAGACAAGAAGGTGATGCCATTTGGACATTTAGTAGAATTCTGAATAAGGCAGTTCGACAGCTTAATAGAAATCTAATATGGAAGAAAACTTTGTTTTCCTTAAAAAACATGTGGCAAAATAAGGCAGTAACATTTGCTGGAGTTAGGCAGCACTATAATACAGTAAACTCTTTGCCGAAATACATGCAAAATATGTTTAACTAGACAAAAGATGACTGGGTCAAATGTTAATACATTGCTAATAAAATGCTGAAAAGCAGAGAATCACTAAAAAATGAACCAGTTTTTTTAAAAAAAGTTTAGAATTTAAGGAGATCTTTGTTTTTAAAGAGATCTTATTATGCTGTCTGTATTAGAAATTATAATCTGTTTAACCTTCTTAGTTCCTGATCAAAGAATTCTGAACACTTTCGTTCTTTAAGTGAATTTCATAAAAATACCATCTCATAAAAAATCCATGATCAGATTTATTTATTTATTTATTTTGAGAAAACTCAATATTTAAGACTACTTCAAAAACTGGCTGATTTTGCAATACAGATGCACATGGAGTCTCGGAAAATAATAGAGTAATTTTGCACTTATATCAGACCCATTCTGTGCTCACCCCTAATTATGTGGGAGGAGAACTCATATTTGTCATGGCTCCTGTGCCCACACATATTACATTCAAAAGGGTCACGAAAACCATGACATCCCATATGGATAGTGAACATAACATAATCCAAGAAAAGAACACGGCAATGATCACATCGAAAGAATCCAATGGGTTCACCTTCTTTGTTGAAGACTTTCAAGGCATCATAAGGATAAACGTTTGGTTGTCTAAACGTGTCGTATGCTCTAGGGAGTTCCTTGAAAGTCAGGAGTCCATTCCTGGTCTGCAAAGGAGGAGGAACCATTTGATTTTGAAGATAGGCATGATTCTGGTTCTCTTCTTGATTGTTATCTGAATCTGTAGAATGTTGACCACTATTGTTTGGAGAAAGGCTTCGCTCAGTAGGTATCTTGTCTCTCGGATGGGTGTCACTCTTTTCCATTTTCAGCGGGTTATTATTGGGCATTTCAGTGTGAGTGAATGTAAGAGGGTACAGGCTGCTGATAACAGGCACCATCTCTGAAGTTGGAGCAGCTGAGGTCTGCATGAGTGAGCGAGCTGGTTCTGCACCAAGATAGCCAATGGCATTGCTGAAGGCTTGCTCTGCCATGCCTGGCAGCATAGCCCCTCTTTCCTTTTCATATAAAAAGCCATGGCTGTAATTCACTTCAAAGTTGGGATGTTTTTCACCTGCAGAAGAAAATAATACTTGAGGAGGTAGAAAACAAATTTCTAATATTTGTGATGGATGAAGAAAGTCACACCTTTGATGGGCAGCACATACTTTTCATAAACAAACAAACATTATCTGCATACTTTCTAGCCTGATTCAAATCCTAGAAAATTATCTTTAAAGTAATACAAAAAAAGGGGAGGGGAAAAAAACCAGCAGGCAAACACTGCACAATATAGAATTTGAAAAATAAAAGCATGGAATCAGGATGAGAAGTTTTCATCAAAACTGCTGACACAGCCAACTTTTTCACCTGCAGCAGACAATACTTTCATATTAAAACTTTCTAAGCTACATAATAGAAACTAGAACAAAATCTTGAGATATTTATCACTGGCAGAACTATGAGTCAAGGACCTCCAATGTTCGGTGGATAGGAGTGAAACCATACACTCACGTTTCTTTAATAATGTGCTCGAGAGTGCTGACAGCTTATTGCCAATCTCAAGACCCATCTGATAGTTCAAAGGAATGTTTAAAAATCCCCACAACATGACATTTCACTATGACTCATAATACCTGTTCTAGATAACATGAATCAAATAATATTCTAATGCTAGGTTTTCAAGGGCATCCTGAATATATGTCAATATGTTTGCCACCCCTCCAAGTTGCTGGGATGTGAGCAAAAGTATGCTAATATATTAACTTGCTTGAAACAGGGTGATCATTTCTGTGGTAAAACTGAGAATTGGTTGCACTTGCTGAATTTTGGCCTACATGTCCCTGAATGTACCATTCTTATCTTTACCATTAATGGGAAGTACCCCATATGGCACACAGATACTAAGGCTGGTCCTATAGTGTATCCTGCCCTTATCAAAAAAAGGCATTATGCAAAATTCTTGAATGACCAAATTCATGTTGGGCAGCGGAGGTCAATTTTTAGCAGCCCATCTGTGATGAACATGGTATAGGTTGTCCTCAACTTATGACCACAATTGAGTTCAAAATTTATGTTGCTAAGTGAAAAATTTGTTAAGTGAGTTTTGCCCCATTTTATGACTTTTCTCACTACATTTGTTAAGTGAATCATTATAGTTGTTAAATTAGCAACATGATTGTTAAGTAAAACCATTGACTTTGATTGTCAGAAGGTTGCCAAAGGTGATCGCATGACCCTGGAACACTGCAACCATCATAAATGTGAGTCAGTTGTCAAGCATCCAAATGTAAATAATGTCACCATGGTGAAAAAGTCAAAAGTGGGGGAAATGGTCATAAGTCAGTTTTTTCAGTGCTGTTGTAACTTTGAACAGACACTAAATTAACTGTTGTAAGTTGAGGATCAACTGTATATGGAAAATTCCAATTTAGAATGTAGAAAAAGTAAATGCCAAGAAACACAAATGAAATCAAAAAGGAAAAATAAATTGTTATGTTTTTTAAATAAGAGAAACGATATAATATTTTATATATAATATAAAACTGGTCTGAGAAGAATTGGTAAATATTTGCAGGGAAATAAAAATATGCCTTTAATTATGAATAAAAGGGGTGCAGAAATATCTGAACCAGAGTCATTTTGGTTGCTATGAACGTGTATGAAAACAGGAATTTATAGATTGGTGATAATTATACCTTATGCCCCACTGAATGATGATAACCGAAAAACTGCAGAGGAGTTGTAGGGACAATTGTGCAACCTTTAAGAATGAATGTGATTCAGAGAAAATATCGCTCTCTGAGGTGACACGATTGAATGGGTGAAAAGAAGATGATGAAAGAACACAGAAAAAGTTTTGGGCTACTCTTGAAGACCGAAGAATGAATGAGAACAATTAAAATGTGCTTAGAAGAAGTTATGTTTGTTGCTAATACATAATTAAACATAAATTTATTCATACATACTTATGTCAAAAATATTATATTAGCTTTAAATCATAACTGATTTAACTCTTTATAATGAGAAATTGAGAAAATCAGTGAAGGATACAAGAATAATGACCGGCTCCAAATGAGGTGCAGGCCATTTTTTTATTAGTTTCATAAATGGTTCTTTTAACAAAGAAAAAAAAGACATAGGAATGGAAGAAGCAAAAGATCCTAGAGCTGAAGAAAAAACCTGTGGGAAAAGAAAATGCAAATTATGTAAGAAAAAAAAAGAAGATAGATTAAACTCCCAATGGAATGAACGTAAGTTAACAAGGCGGGGAAATGTGAATACTGCCTAGAACTGAATGAAAGGAATTACGTTAGAGAGGATCACAGAAATATGTACACTTATTCTAACAATCACTATGGAAAAAATGTTGGGTGGGACGATGAAGTGAAAAAAGTAGTGGATCAGGGGAAAATGCATGTAACAGTTACAGAATGTTGCAGAAATGAGGATGAAAGCAAGCAAGCGCTGTAGATAAGAGGAAAAGGCAGCTAGGAAAAGGTATCAGTCAAAAAGAATAAGGAATTATTAAAATTGAAATGAAAAGGGAAACTGACATTGATGAAGATAAAATCTTCTAAGTGATCAGAGCTAACCAAGGAATCTTCAGCAGAATGAAAGGAATGGGATTAAATATAAAACCAGAGAAATTATTTGAACTGAAGCTAAAATGAGAAAAGTATGCTCGGCTATGTTAAGATATTTTTATATAAACAACAGCTATATTTTAAGTAGAAGTGAAATGAATGTTTTAAATATTTGTGCATATGAATGAAAAGCAATTCATAAAAACTGGGGGAATATTGAAAAAATGGTAAAAACTGCAAGTGTAGATGTAACAGCAAACACGTTAAAATTATGGATGTACCTTGCTTGTGGAAAAGCTATTTCCTTATTTATTACATAGGTGAAACCTGCATATCTAATTAGAAGAATGATGGTCCTGTCTTTACTGAGAGCTATGTAGAGTTCAGCTCCGTTGAGCTTAATAATGATAATGATCCTGCAGAATAATGTTGATTTTGAAACAATTCATTTTTCCAACTATTTTTGTAGTTTGAACAGAATCAATAATACTTGGAATCATATAAATGGAATCATTTAAGTTTCCTGCTAAGATAAGAATACACTGAATAAAGTAAAATCTAAAAAAAAATCTGATTTTGATAACCATATTGTGACTTTGGGCATGCACACTCAGCCCAATTCATCTCACAGGGCTGCTGAGGAGAAAATAGGAGGTGGAGGAAGTATTGTGTATGCTCACCTTCCTGAGTTACTTATACAAATTAAAATAAAGGTGAGATAAATATATAAAGAGGTGGCAAATAAAACATATTTGCCACCTCTTTATACAATCTCTTAATACAACCAATCAAGAGAAGATGAATTGGTAAGATATTTTCCACCTTTTTGGGAGAAGAGGCTTATACTGATCAATATTTAATTTCACTCCCTGACATGGAGCTCACAGCTCAATCTCACTGTGGGAAGCAGGTTGTAGCACAGTGAGTGATGAAACCACTGGGGCAGAAAATGGGGCAGATCAAAAAGGATATAAAATTGAATCATTCAGTATCTCTACAATAACCGGAGATTCTTAGTCACTAGACAAAATCTCAGATTGTCTCTTCTCTCATAGAAGCAGGGGAAATATTGTCTATGATATACTTTTCTTTATGCTTTTCACTGTCAGAACTCAGTACTAGCAAAACCAACATCACAGTTGGTAATATTGCAGTGGGATTCTGCATTGGCAAAGAAGATGGTTTGTCCCAGGTGAAGCTATCTGTGTCAATGTTTTCTTAGTTTATTCGGGAAACTAAGTTTTGTCTGATGATTAAACTGTGCCAGTGAGGATTTTAGCCATGGGTTTAAAAAGGAATAAATAGGTATACCACTGCACTCAAATAAGACTCAGCAGAAATAAGTAGCTGGACCCTACTTATTTGCCCCAGGAACAGGTGTCATCCTAAAGTTTGAAATATTTTTCAATGCTCTCCAGAGATGTAACATAAAAGGCATAAGCATAGTAAAAAGAAAAAAAATCACTATCCTGATTTTTAAGATAGTCTGTTCTGTTTGAACTTCTGTTTGAAGTTCTAAAATATATCATTTTTGGCTGCTAATAGAGATGTATCATGTAATCCGCAGATTATTCTAGAGTAGACCAGAACCATTTTACTAAATTGATAATTTACTCTCTGGACTATTTTGTATACATCTTTATATCTAATTCTCTCTTTCTTAAACAAATACCTAGATAGAAAATCAACATTTTCTTTTAACAATTTTTTTCTCTTGTACTTAAAAATGACTAAGTACATGATTAATGTATTCAATCATTTTTAATGTATGATTAATAATGTGATTTAAAGGAAAAACAGTAGGGTTTTGATTTTAAAAACATCCCACATTTGTTATTTTCACAAATAAACTAAGACAGCAAACGTATTTGACACATCTTCTTCCTTCTATTTTCCTCACTGCAACAACCCTGTGAGATGAGTTAGGCAGAGAGAGAATCACTGGCCCAAAGTCATTCGGCGGGCTTTCATGGTAAAGGCAGGACTTGAACTTATAGTCTCTTGCTTTCTAGCCTGTTATCTTTTTTAAAAAAAATATATAAACAGGCTGGATTGATGACATCTGCAAGTATTGCAGGCCTGATTGACAAAAGAAAGCTCAGGACTGGTTGGAAACATAAGGAAGAGGCCTTCATCCTACAGTGGATAGATAATGGTTACGTGATGATGATGATGATGATGATGATGTTTTATCAACAGGAATAAAATGCAAAACAAAGAAAACAGAAAAACATACACCCAACAGTAACAACAACAAAAAATTGTGTACAAAAAAGAGGGGGGGAAAAATAACCCACACATAATATAGGACTAACATTGAACATACAAAAAAGTCTACCCTAGCTGTACGGTGCAAGAAAATAATTTTTAAAACCCTGATAAATTCACCTCCTCTTACATAACGTGTGCGTGCGCTCTCCTCCCTCCCTCCCTCTCTCCCTCTCTTTCCCTTAATCTTCTCTTTGCAAATTATAAGTACAGTTTCTTT